AAAAAAGGGTTACAACCTGCAGACAGGGAAGTGAAGCCTCTGGCTGAAACTGAAAGCAGACACTTCAGAGACAGAAGGAAGAGGCTGAGATTTATGCCTAGTGAGATTGGCTGTACATACATATTCAGTAGGTTATAGGACAATCTTATGAATATTTATGAGGGGTCCTAATGCATGTGTAGTGGATAAACATATATGTTACATAGGACCCATGTTTATAGAGACAGTGTTAAAATACAGTAAATTTAGGCGCTGTATGTCAAAAGGTGAAACATAAGGCACAAAGCCATTTTGCGCTTAATCTCTGTAAATCAGTCAGAGCCCGTCAGTGGTTGGTGGTCAGTTATCAGGACAGGATGGAATTCTTTGTCAGGCCGCTCAGTTTTCATGGTGAACCCGTGATAAGGGGAGTGGAGTCTGGCCATGGTGTCAGGTGATCTGCTGAAGTCCATGGAAGGATCTTCCAGTCTTTGTTTTTCAGGTGTTGGTTTCTGTTATCTCTTAAAAGCCTGTAACAACAAAAAGAGGGGGTACTGGCGGCGCCGGTGGCTTAAGCCTGTAATCCCAGCACTTTGGGAGGCCGAGCGGGGGATCACGAGGTCAGGAGATCGAGACCATCCTGGCTAACACAGTGAAACCCGTCTCTACTAAAAAATACAAAAAAACTAGCCGGGCGAGGTGGCAGGCGCCTGTAGTCCCAGCTACTCGGGAGGCTGAGGCAGGAGAATGGCATAAACCCAGGAGGCGGAGCTTGCAGTGAGCCAGATCCGCTACTGCACTCCAGCCTGGGTAACAGAGCGAGACTTCGTCTCAAAAAAAAAAAAAAAAAAAAAGAGGGGTACTGAGGCTTGTCTAACCTCCTATCTCATCAAAGCCAGGAAACTTAAAGTTTTTCTGGGAATCTGGGCCAAAGGGATCCATTCAGTCTGTCAGAGGCATCAGATTTTATTCTGGTTCCACAGGGGACTCTAGAAACATGATTTCCTGGATCTCTCCACCCTAATCCTGTCTTCAACCAAGGAGATTTTAGTGGCAATGTAGATAGTTCTTCCTAACTCTGAGCTCAAAGTTTCCCAAAGGGTATTTTTCTAGTTATGAGAGACGTTATGAGAGATATTAATGGGGGTAGGGATAGAGAGATTAAATGAGACCTATGATCAAATAAGTTTGGGAAATGATGAATAAGCAAAGGGTAATGTAGAAGAAGAAATTTTCATTTAAAACCAAAGCTGATGATGTGGATTCCTAATAAGATAAGTGAGCAGCAACCTGGAGGGGGCCTCAGGTGGGGAGAGCAATTGTTCTGCCGGACAGCTAATCACTGACAACCCACTGGCACGACATCCTGTTCCCAAATACCTCGCACTACACATAGCCCCAACAGCACGACCTCATTCTGCACATAGCCCCTCCAGTACAACCCTAGAAAACCTCCCTCCAGTCCCTGCCTCTTTGTGGACAGCCCCTTCTCTGCTGTGCTGCCCATTGCCTCCTTGCAACATATTCTCCCTGTAATGAGCTTGCTTTCTTTAACTCACTACTGTCTTGGTAAATTCTTTTACCATCTGTAATGCCACCCCTAGCCAGTTGCACCTGCAACAGATGACAGCTACTTTTGTCTTCTAAGGAGGGTGGAATGGTTCACATCGATAAGAAAATACATACTCCGTGGTTCCATTCCACTTACGGGGACTGGAGAGGGGAAGAGAAGGTAGAAAGGAAACTAACATTTCTGTGCTTCTGCACCTTTTCTGTGTTGATAACCTACAAGTGCAGGGCAGACAGCCCATGTGACCTGATTGCCTAGGACTTTCCTGCTGTACACCTGTCGGCCAGCGAAGTTATTACTAGGCCCACTTTCACTCTCAAAAGTGTCATAGTTTGGACGACGAATTATATGGCTACCTGTTAACAAGGCTTTGAAAATGTAAAAGTAGTTTCAAGACCAAATAAGGAGAGGAAAGCAAAGTTGTTTTGTACGATAAAGTGAGAAGAGTTGAGTTGGGGTGAGGTGGAGGGGCTGAGGGAAATAAAAGGAAAGTTTTGAGGGGGAAAAGGGGCTAAAATCATGGCGATGTAAAAGGCTTTCACCATCACAAACCTCAGTAAAGCCACTGAACACAGACATGCCTTATAGGGTATTTTGGGGAAGGGAAATTCATGAAGAGGGGACTGAAATCCACAACTCTATCAGCACAGAGCAGAAATAAGGCAGAAGTGGCAAGAGGTGCACTATGAATGAGTTGGAGAATTTAAGGGGAAGCTGAACTCAGAGT